CGGGTACCACATGCATAACATAGTCATGTCTCATGGAGTCAGTTATGTTTATTTTTGAGTCTTTTGGCGTTGAGTTTTATTTGATGACTTATAATGAATTGTGATGTTATATGATACTTTGTTTTGTGATGATTTTTGTGTTGAACATAAAGTTATTATGATGTGATAATTTGATGAAAATTATGCGATGGATATAACATGACGGTAAAGCGACGATATGAGTTTAAGGCGATGAAGTTTATGTCTTGTTTTGACGTGATTATGGTGATTATGTGATGATATTAAAGTGTTGATCTTGTACACTAAATGATGATTTTAAAGTATGTGAGATTTGATATTTGTTGACATATTCTTATTAATCGATACCATTTATGATTCCAAAATTATTTATATATTTCATCATGCCTTTAATTATATGTTTTGGAGTATCTCACCCTTTACTTGTTTCGTCGTTGCCTTTATATTGGTAACATGCAGGTGATCCGCGAGGATGATGAAGATTAGCTCGAGTCTGTTTATTTTGAGTCGATATGCTCTGATAGTTGTAACACTCGGGATTTGGGCGACGTTATTATTTTGATAGGATAGTTTATGTATACTATCTTATGACTTTATGTATTGATGATAACATGATGATACGTACATTTTGTGAACACATCCGCTGTGATGTGATTAGTCATATGTTTATATGATGATTTATGTTATGAATCAGTATATCTGAATTTTGATTTTGTGATGTGCATTATAATGCAAGGTGATGAAAAACACGAATATGTGATACCTCAATTTATGTTTGGATGAAATTTTGAAACTCTGATTTTTTTATTAATTACGAGGGGTAGAATTGGGGTGTTACATTCATGGGCACCTTGACTAGTCCATTCTTCAATTTTTTTTATTGGCAGTTCATCATTTCGGTTAACTGAATTGATTTTGACTGGCAAGATGATTCAAGGAAAACTTTCAACATGAAAGTTATAGATCTTGATGAATTCTACAACTTTGACCCTTAGGGTTGATGTCCAAAAAATTCTTAGATTATGAGATATAGGCTCATGAAGTCATGGCATTTTGGTATAAACACTTAGTGAAATTTTCAACAAGTTTAGGCAGATTTTTTCCCTAACTTCTTGGCCAATTTTCATCAAGTTCCAAGTTGATGTAACCAAAGTGGTCAACATGAACGTTATAGACAATGTTTTAAGCTTTCTAAAATATCAAAGAACTTGAAGAGATAATTCTTGAGCTAAGAGATTCAAAGAGAAGAAGTTGGACATCTATTCTTGAATTTTAGGTCATTTTTAAGAAGAACATTATGATCAATATTCAAGCATGCTGCATAATCTTGCTTTGCAGGCCTTCAAAATTGAAAATCACTCAATAATGTAATATTTACACGATTTTTTGATCCATTGTTCAATTGATTCAAGCATTGTCCAAGTTAACTTGCCATTTAAGGAAGAAAGGCCACACTTCCATTTTGGAAAAGCAAGCTTTATGCAAATTGTTAATGCATTGAGCCTTGAAACTTATATCTTTGATTGCAATCAAAATCAAAAGCATGAATCAAGTCCCTTGCATCCAACAAACATCATAACATGCTTGTACTTGATCCTTGAAACCATCTTTTTTCATCCAACTTGATTTTCCACCTTTAACCAAACTATAACATGTCATCTTACAATTTTGGTTACTTCAAGCTCTAAAATCTTCCCTCTATTTATAGAGGAAGTATTTGTAAGCTAAGACACGATTTCACAAGCCCTGAAACACTCACAAACTCCCTGGACTCAAAATTTGCATTTCAAACCTCTATTGTTGCATATTCTGACCTTGAACTTAAAATTCAAAATCTACTCTTGCATTTTCACTTCTAATCAATCACAAAGATTAAATACCTCATTTATAACTCATACCCACCCTTATTTCATAATTGTAAGTCCAGTTTCATCAACTTCCAAACTCAAAAATAGTCACCTACAACTTGACTTCTCCATAAATATTCAGCCACTCTCAACACAAAGTAAGCATTGCAATAGCTTCCTAGGAGTTCAATGAAGCTATCGAGATCATCACAACAAATCCAAGAGTGCTCAAACTCCACACACGATTTCCAGTTTTTAGTTAAGTTTTCTAAACTTTGAACTCCTTATACAAGCATCATTAATGGTTACTTTGTGAATGAAAAATGTAGATATCATTTCCCTGAAGCTAACCATGCCTTTAGTTTTCATTTATATTGCCTAAGTGATGTGAATTTTGAAGTTGAACTTTCTGGAAAAAATTAGGTTTTTATTTGGTACAAGTAAAATTCTCATTCATCTTTGATTTATAGCTAATGAAATTTATATGGTTGGATTCATGGTGAAATTTCAAGCAAGTTTCATGTTTACATTTTCTGATTTGGTTGAGAAATGAGGAAGTTCCAAAAATAAAAAATGGTGGTGTAGTTTTGCGCGCGTGAAGGAGGAACAAGATGAAGTTCAATTTTCATAATTGATTTTATTTTAAGTTTATTGCAAGTTGCATTATAAACGGAGGAAACAGCCACCCCAGTGGAAGAGAAGAACGCTCTAAGTCATTGATCCATAGGGACCTGGGTTCGAGCCCCAGCGGTACCCTTTTAATTTTCACAACTTTGTTTCTATAAAATCATGTTCAGGCCAGTCAAGCGCGCATACCATGAGCCCCTTATCTATGCCATCAATCTTCCAAGAAATCAAATCAAATGCTCCATAATGCAAGCCCATAATGCATCTCAAAAGGCCAGCAACATGGAAACATAGATAGGCACTGGATCACTGTTTTGGGCCTGATATGAATTTCTTTTTCTCACTCCCTATTTTCTTTATAATACACAGTCCCATTGAAACAATCGGCTGAATAATAAACTGATAATGAAATCAATAAAGTATCCATCGAACGTTATTTTTATCCCATAGGAAGGGAAAGGTAAACATCGAGAAAACCTGAGAAGGGAGAAGTCACGGTCTTGCGACCGAGAGATCGAGTAAGGGAGTCTGTTACGCGAGGTGAAGGTAATAGCACCCCACATGCCCGTAGTACTCTACGGTATCCACTCTTGTTGTTATAATCAAAGGGTGTGTCTAATATGTATCTAAATTGTACAGGGAATGAAAGCAAAAGAAAGGAGAAAAGAATGTAGGGAAAATAAAAGTGTGCTCGTTCAGGCCCTACCCCGATGCCTACGTATCCCTTTTAAGGAATCATAGTTTTCATAGTTTGGCCTAAAAGTTTTTGTTGGTTTGTATATTTTAATGAACAATATTAATTTCGCCTTATGCTGCAGCTCGACCTCTGGAGTCTCACGCGTCAGCACAAAAGTGAATTTAAGATATCCTTTTGAAAAGTTTGAAAGAAAAGCCTGAAGGCGCAAAAGAGTTTGTATTGGTCAATATATTTTACCTCAAAGAAGGATTTAGAAGTAGTTCGATGTTTTATGCTTTTTTCAAGAAAAAGGAAGTTTTATTCTTAATGCATAGATGCAAAAGAAAGAAGAATCATCTAAGGGATACTAACCTAGATCTATCCCTAATGTTATCATACAATGATTAATCCTAAGGTTGATTTTTGAAAGGTAAATCTCTAACCTATGTTAGCATGCATGGATTTCTATCCTAATGTCTAGCTCAAAATCTACTCTAATCGAGCAATCCTATGGGAAGATGGCATAGTAAACAAATAATCAAACAAGTGCTTTGGAAAAAGCACACAAACATGAGTAGCATATACTGACTCAAAGGGATGGGGGAAACAAGAGAATGCTTTAGATAAGGGGAGCATATCACCAAAAGCAAACAAGAGGGAGATAGATGTAAAACAAAGATATGATGTTCAAAGCGACTGGACACCTAACCAAGATATAGAAGATTAAGGTAGGCAATAGAAGACAATATGAACGGTCATAGAGTATCAGCATCGGCGGCCAATGCGAACTCCTGACAAAGCGTGGGGATTTGATTGCAAAACCCTTCCCCACTTGATGGACTCAATAGACAAGATCTGCATGACTCCAAAGCATCGACATACGATGTGAGCTAAGGATGACACGAACTAAAAATGTGCGGGGGTCGATTACAGACCCTCCATGCTTGCCTCCTTTTGAGGACTTCTAATTCGTAATATTATGCGGGCACAAAATTATTCACACGTGTAGAATAACTACTTCGAAGGTAGAATTTTAAACAAACACAATTATCATACAAAAAGCAGTGCCTACTACAGGACTTTAAATAGGTACTTCGAGCGCACGCTCTTTATTTCCTGCTTCCTACTTCATATGATTTCTAGAAAGCGATAAATGTTGAAATAAGATAAACAAGAGAAAATACCAAACAAATATCAATTCGTAGCGAAGCGTGTCAAAACAAAGACACCCGACGATCTTCGCGAAAGCTTCACTGATCAAATAAAAGAGTTAGAAATCAAATTCTCGGAATAAGTATCGACGCATCATCGATGTGAAAATAAATCAAAATAAAAATCTCCAGCATATCCGCATATCACACAATAAACGTGCATAAGACTCAAATATCAACAGACAAAGGTGAAGCATGAAGTATCGGAAAAAAAAAAGATTATTTAAACATAAACCATAATAGAAAATTCTAACAAAACTCTAAAAAGAAGAAAAAAATCTAGGGAACTATATTATATTCCTAAAAAACAATTAACAATTTTTTATTGTTTTTATTATTAGTTTTGATTATAAAATATTATAGAAAGGAAATTAATGAGAAAAAGAAATTAGAATTCTAATCGGAAGGAGGTTCAAGCTGAAGTCCAGGGGGTGCAGTAGAAATCCAGATTCTGATTCTAAGCCTAGTCCATGAAACAATTCTTTGTTTGTAACACTATCTTAAAAAAAAAAACACGGTCGGCCTAAGAAGTAGTGAGTATGCGCGGAAGGCACACAGATTAGCCAAGCCCAGACTCTAAGCCAAATTCTCTATGTTTCAAGTGTGATAGGGTTGGGGAGTATGACCGTTGAACTTCGTTCAAACATAACCTCTTCTCCTTCCAAACTTGCAAACGGCACCGCAATTTCCCGATTCACCACCTCTTTCGTCTTCTTATCCTTTCTCCACCTCAATCTTTATCTCCGCCTTAATTCATTTCATTCTTCACCGCATACTTCAAATTCGAACTTGTCTCCCTCCGTCTTAATTCGAAATCAGCATCACAAACAACCTCTTCATCATCTCAATTTGGTAACTCAAACTTCATATATCAATTCAAATCAAAGGTTTCAGAAGAAGTTGGAGAAGCGGGGTTACCCATGAAATTCCAATGGTGGTTGCATTGAGGATGAGGATCGGAGACTCGACCAAACCAGAATCTTTAAGTAAGTGGATCTTCATCTCATATTTTCGTCTTTAGCCCCAATCTTCTTCTACTCTTACTTGTTTTTCTTCTCGCTTTTACGATTTGCAATTTTTTGTCGCGTCAATTCCATGTGTTGGGGATACGATGCTAAGCATTATGGTTATTGATGTGTTCTTTGCAAGTTGATGGAGAAGCGTTGATATTGATGATTTGCTGATAATAACTTGCTGAAGATTATTGCAGTAGTTGTGGTTGTGGATTTGTTGGGAGTTGCAAAAGAAATCGATGAAAACGGAACAAAGAATGATGAAGATTTCAGAAGTAGAGACTTCGGTTATGGAGATGGAGATTCGTTGCAGAGTGAAGGTGAAGATAGGATTCATAGGGAAAGATTGAAGAGGAGCTTCTGGTTTTATTGGTAATTCTTCCAATGAAATTGAAGTACGATGAAGGAAGATGAGATGACAAGAAAGAGAGATTTTTCTGTATTTTTTCTGATGATTCTTCTAATTAAGTGATTGAAGAATGAAGCATGAAATGGTGGTTGATGAATGTGATGGGTGAACAATGATGAAGATGAAGAATAAGAGTAATATTTTTGTGATTCTTCAGTTAATCGTGAAGAATGAATATGATAAAAGAATGGAGCTGAGAAAGGGGATGGTTTTTCTGTAGATTTCCAGAGGGAGAGAAGAATGGTGAGTATTATGTAAAGTTTCTATCCCTTTTCTGGTTATGAATCATATCCCTTTTCCTCCTGTTCTGAAATTTGTTGTCTATTTTTCTGTAACTGTGAATTCTCCTGCTTCTACCGTGAGCAGAACTCTGCTATATCTAGTGGTGAGTTTGTTCACTTTTAAGAAGTTAGTTGGGAGCTTTTGAATCGATTAGAGTTAGTTAGGAATCGCTTAGTTGTTTGAGGAGTTAGTTACATGTTGGCAGTTAGGAAACAATTTAATTATTCTGTTAGGACAATTTGTTTGAAAGTTGGTTGGCTGTTTTGATTTTCTGTTTTCTATTGAGAAGTTTGTTGAAATCTGTTAGCACGGTTAGATTTGGTTAGAAGAAGTTAGAGGTTACTGAGTTGGTTATAGCAAAATGGATATGGGCCTTCGATTTCTGGAATCTGGTGAATTCAGTTAGCAAGCTTGTTAGGAACTCAGTTATGAAAAACCAGTACTTCTGTGATGAATAATTCCTGATTGAGTTATAATACAAGCTTGTTAGCAAGCTTGTATTATATGCTGATTCTTTCTACTTTTCTAGTTTACAAAATGAAGGTTTTGTTCTGTCGTGAATTCATGGAGTCCGGACCAAGCCCTGAGTTGTTTGCAATAACATTAGCATCATGGTTTTGGATGAGAATTATGGTGATGAATGAGCATATTACAGCATGGTTTTGGTTGGAAGAAAGCGAAGTACTCGAATATAGAACCGTATCATGAATAGATGATGGAGAACAAGACTCGTGGATGGAAAATATTTTTTTTAGCAAGATAAAGTTAGCTTAGAACATGAACTTTTTGTGTAATTTTTGTATGGTTTAGTTTTAAGTTTATGTAATTTTTAATGTAATGATAAAGTTGTAATGTAAATGTAATGGAACCACATGGTGTTGAATATATGAATGGTTTTGTAATGATGTTTGGTTAGGAGGTCTGCGACAGGAAGCTGATAGCTGAGGCTCTTCCCGGTTTTTGGGCTCTGATTTTGCAATGTTGAGACATGGTATCTCATACTAGTTTACAAATTTTTGATATAAATGGAAGTTGCTTGAGATTTATGAGTGGAATTGAAATAAACATGCCAAATCAAATCATGAATAAGCTTGCATCCAAGAATTTGAATAAAAACGGGAGTTTTGGAATATTAATCCACTTGCCAAACTTGAACCAAAATGAACACTTGAATGGAATTAAAATGAATGAAAATGTCTTGCCCTTTGAATCTTGTTTCTTGCATTTGAAATGAGCCATGAATTATTTCTTGCACTTTAATAAATTTTGATTCTCTTGATAAATCCTCAATCCTTGGCTTCAATTCTCCATAATAAAATTATCTTGCAATTCGGTGCACCAGTCATTTTAACTCGAAAACCACTGATCTCACAACAAAGTTAATGTCCTTGATGAAACCCAAGGATTGATGTATAGAACACCATAATAAACCTCTAATCCACACTTCACTGCTTGTAGAAGTAACCAAAAGAATCAGAATAAATGAGCTTTTATTGGATGCGAACACCTTAACCTCAATCAATAAAACACAAGTTTTAACTGGTTCTCCAAGCAAGTTAAGTGAATTATTCTCGAACCGTATTAAAAAATTCTATTCCATGTTCATCTTAAATCAATCCTCATATGCAACTCGAACGTTCATGACAAGTTGAATCTCAGGCAACTTCAAATGGCGTGCTTGATCAATGAACCCATAGACTCAGAATTGAATCTCAACTCACGAATGCTTTACATCCTAAGCCCAAACTTAACCAGAAAAGTAAATTTAAACATGATACACAGACCTCTAATTGATGGAGTGAGATATAGACGAATCTAAACTCTATTCTCTTGTATCAAATCCATGTTTTATGCCTTGTAATCCAAGTAACAGATTGAATCGACCATTGGATGATAGTGAGCCACATAATTTGGGAGACGAACCCTAGTTTCGATGATAAGCGTAAGCATAACAATGAAGCTTCTTACTCCATGATTCACAAGAACCACATACATGATGCACATGCCTTTGAAATAAATCCAATTAAATGACTTGAACTCTATCAATGGCGCCCCATCTCATATCATGCACAAAACCATGTGTTTGGGAAGAGGAGGACCTAATTCATAATTTACCACTTGAGGAACGAATAAAGGAACTCGAATATTATTGAACATTTATATCTCAATCCATTGTAAAAACCCTAGCTTGTACGCATACCAAACTTTTGAACCTCCGATGCTTTATTCAATGCAAATACACGCTAGGTTAGTGCAAATGACCTAATGAAAAGATGTGAACGCAAAAGTCTAAGCCAGATAAAAGAAATTAGGAGGACAAATTTTAGGGTGCAACCCCCATCTCTTTATTTTTTATTTTATTTTCTGAACCAAATAAAAACATATATTGGGCCTAATTCTTTTTTGTTATTTTGTCATACCCCTTTTACTTTTTAACACCCAAGCTCATATCTTAATATTTTCATTATTTTTATTTATTTATTCATTTATTTATTTAATATAAAATACCAAAAATATATTTTCTTAAATAATTAAATTAAAAATATTTTATTGTAAATATTTTATTTTATTAAATTAAATTTATTATCGATATTAATATTAGCCTTCAAATTATTTTCTAAACAAATTATTTAGACTTAGGTTTTTATTTTCTTCTTAAATTCAATTAACTTAGATTTTAGGTTTTGTTAAAAAATTAATTACACTTGTCTTGTACTTAAAATTAATTACTTTAGTTAGGTTAATTATTAAAACCTTTTTTTTCCATCAATAAATCTCACAAAAAGCAATTTCTTTTTTCTTCTCCATCCTTACATTTTGTGCATTCTATTATTATTCTTGATTCAATGGTTTGTAATAGATAATTAGGATTTATTTCTTTCTCCCCCTCATTCCCAAAGCGTTGTAATAGCATAGGATATTTAAATTCTGCAATTTATCTCTTTCTCTATTATTGTTAGTAATTAGGGTTTGCATGATAAGATCTAAAATCGAACATTAGAAAATGCTAATTCAAAGACAATATACATGAAATCAAAACACTTTACACACATGCACCTCTAGGGTAACCCAAACTTTGTGCCTCGGATAAAACGCAGTCATGTCCCTCGAACGTGGGATGCTTTAGCAAAGACCCTCAATTAAAAGATCGTAGTCCCTCGATGACCCATCAATGTTACCTTCGATTAACGATCTTAGTCCCTTACGACAATTTCTAAAACATTCTACAAGTTTCCTTCTATGACTATACGATAACCCATGCTTGTCCCTCACATCCAATGATATGGCTCCTTACTAACTAATGGTAAAATAGCACTATCTAAAGGAGGAGGAAAAGAACAAAGACTTTTTTAGTAGGTAGATTGCTCGTAATTTCTTGCTCACAAACCAAAACAATTTTCACACCTCTTTCCAAACATATTTTCAAACACTCTCTTTCCAACTAAATATTTTCAAAACAAACATTTTGTATAAATTCTAAGCGATACGAGAATCATTGCAAAATTTCCGCACTAAGGCGTTTTCAAAATATTTCCAAAAAAAACATTTTGTATACATTCTCAAAGATACGAGAATCATTGCAAAATTACAACTTTCAAAACATCTTCAAAAACATCTTTCAACATACACAAACACAAAGCATTTTTAAGTGATCAAGCAATTAAGAGCCCGTATATAACTACTGATGAAAAGGGTGCTAACACCTTCCCTTTTCAAAACCTACCCCCCGAACTCAAGAAAATTCTCAAAAGGTCTTTCCTGTTCTTTTCACACTTTCCTTTATTGGATAAAAGAAAAGTCAGTGGAGACTCTTGCTATCCCAACATTTTCAATAAAACGCAAAACACCGAGTTAGTTCTCCCACTGTATTATAGTCTCTAATAGGAAATTATGGTTGGAGCTACACTGACGAATGGAGTCACAGAAGAAACTTGTTGCTAGTACCGTTGATGCCTTCTAGTTGGTCTAAAATTCATTTCTCCAATAACATCATTTGTTTCACTTTCTTTCTTTCGAGAGAAACTGTACGATGACTTCTTTGTCCCTTCATCTTTTGTCAAACACCCTTCTCTAATAGCCTCTTCCAAAACGAACACCCGTGCTTACCATTTTGCTAAAATCACCTGGTGCATTGGCGACCATCTTTTTATAATAAAATGATCCAAGGGTTTTCAGGAAGACCTTGGTAATCTCTTGTTCTACCATAGGTGGCACCACCTGGGTAGCTATCTCGCGCCATCTCTGTGCATATTCTTTGAATGACTCCTTATCTCTTTGAGCCATTTCCCTCAACTGGTCACGTTTAGGCACCATGAACATATGGTACTTATACTGCTTGATAAAGGCTTCTCCCAGATCATTGAAGGTACGAATACTACTACTGTCCAGACTCATATACCACTTCAGAGCAGCACCAGTTAAACTATCTTGGAAGAAATGAATGAGAAAACTCTGATCATTAGTATGGGTTGGCATTTTCTTGTTATACATCACAAGGTGGTAACAAGGGAAAGAGTTTCCCTTGTACCTCTCAAATTCCGGAACTTTAAACTTGGCTGGCACCTTTACATTAGGAACCAGGTAGAGCTCACTGACGTTTTGTCCAAACAATTCTTTTCCTTGAAGGGCCTTCATTTCCTTCTCTATCTTATTGAACTGGTCCTGAAAGTCATCCAACCGGTCATAGAAACCCACACTTTCACTCAATGGAGGAATAGGACGATAAACTTTATCATTAACAAATGACATAGCATTCACCGAAGGAGGTGCAAAATATTGGATATCATTTCTAGCAGTAGGAGTAATATGCACCACAAGAGGTGCAAGAGTAGGAACAACTTGCACAACTGGAGCAGCTTGAGTGTCAAGATTAAAACCTTCTAGCATGAATTTTCCAGGAATTCCCCATGGGTAACCTAGAGGCATACGATTCCGCGTAACAGTAAATGGGGTAACAGAAACAGGAATTGATGGACCTTCAGAAGAAAATGTTGTTTGTTGAGGATGAGCATGTGGTGGCTGATTCTGAGCAGCCACCAATGATTCCATCAATGCAGTTAGATTGGCCATATTGGCCTTTAAAGAAGTAACTTCTTCGCGTAGCTCACGATTCTCTTGTTCAAGATTCTCCATTTTCTTCCTGGAATTAGCCCGAGTATTATATCAGTGAGACAACTTGCTGAACGAAGTAGAGAAGTTCAGTAAGACACCTGGGTATGAACATGAATGCAAGAAATATGTACAAGATGATGCATGATATGCGATGCACATGATTTATTTTTATTATTATTAATATTTCAAAGGACTCAAAGAATTATAGCCAATTTTGCAAATATTAAAGTACTAACACATTTTGGAATACTGAAAATCTCATTATAATAACTTCAAAATGGAATACAACTTTTAGTACAAGTTTCAACAATCCCAAATACAAGAAGAGATAGAATCTAAAATCCTAAGAAAGCAAAGCTGGTGAAAATCACTCCACGTACTGACACTTTCCTGCGAGTCTTGCAATTTGAGCCTTCCACAGCTTGTTCTCTTCTACATACCTGTCAACAACCACTTTCAAATAACCAGAGTCAGGAAGTGAATGACTAAGTCCTGACTAAGATCCAGAGGAAAATAAATCCTTTTGCCTCTCCATCATTTCTACAACACGACTCTCAAGAATCTCGATCAAGTCATCCTTCTGCTTCAAATATGCT